AGCACCGCCAAGGATTGGCCGAATGAATAAATTTGCGCTGGTTGATCTAATCAAGTATGGGCTAGCTACTATTTTTGGCATTTTGCCACTCTTATTTCTACTTTAACGATATGCTTTCAGATACGAAGTAAGCCAACTGTCTGCCTTGGCCCATCCTCGAATTCTACATGTTCAGCATGCATTGGAGGACTCAAAGTGGGTGCAATAAAATGTTTAGTCCTTCAATAATCTATGATTTTTGATTAATTGAATCAAAGATTGCATAAACATCATTTTCGAATATATACCATGCTTGATTTAATACGGAAATGTGCGCGCTTATCCGGAGATTAATTGATCATCTGGGATTTCGACATTAATAAAAAGCTACTTCCACTGATTATCCTGACGGCGATCTCTGAATTATGAGATTTATTTCCAGGGAATTCCTTGCCTTTGCCACCGAATCCGTATGCGGATCACTTGACACTATCGTGATAGAAGAGGGAGTGGAACGGTTGGAGATGAAATTAGGGGTGTTGCAGGTTAGTCAACTCATTTATATCTTAAAAAACTGAAGGAGATAAAGGTTATGCTTTTGAACTAAAGTATCAAAAGGACTTTGTAAAGATTTTAAATGTCTTTTCATCCAACAAAAACATTTCATTATTGTAGTGAGATGAAAAAAAAAGTCGAACGTGGCTTTCCATAATAACAATTCAGTTCAAATTAAAATGGCATAGCATTTTCTATGGGATATCAAATAAAAATTAAATACTTTCTAAAAAAAGACTAAAATACTGACACCTAGAATGTATATCGAGGAAAAGGTTATCATAGGTCAACAGTTGATATTCGATAAGCGGAGAGTATCTAGAAAATCCCACGGCTGTAATTTCAAATTATCAATTTATCAAGTTCTCCGTAATTGGGGCTCATTTTTCTACGTGGCCAGTCAGACTTTTAGTTTTCATAAAGATAGCTTCAACACGCATTATATCTCTCAAGTAATGAATTTATAGCCATACTGGGATCTGCGCCCATGGTATACTAAGTTTTGAGAGAATCGTAGAAATAGCTATTACAACCTATCATCACTTTATTGTGTTGAGAATTTCTCAGTAATTTGTCTACATTTTTGCTCACTACAGTCCTAGTTGAGTGGCATTTTTCAATGGAAAAACGTTCGATCAATTACCATGCAAGAGTTATAATTACCATCCACTCAGATGGAATCTATTCTTTTATAATCTATTCTTTTTCTGAAAGTAGGGCTGCACTGCTTTTGAGCAAATTTCATGCCTTATCAAATAAAAACACAATCCAAGGTGTGTCTCAACTTTTAATGACGTAGATTGACATAAAATGGCATGTTTTTCTAAACACTTCGGCAAGCTTCGGTAAAATTTTTGATGTAAATTTTCAGAATAAGGAACCATGGTATTCTCATGAAATCTACAGGAAAAATTATCGGGAAAGGAATGGTCTAGGGCGGGAGCAAGTCACCTCGTTTTTAGCTAAAGAAGAAATATTGAAAATTCTACTATCCATTTAATTTTGACAAATTTAACCATAGTTATTGGATAGTGAAGAAAACTGAGTAAAAGAACATGAAAATAGTGCTTGGTCCGTCAATAATTTATGATCAGATGTATCTAACCTAACACTAAACCACAAACATTAAAAAATTTTGAAAAGCAACATCCTTTGC